CCAGGCTTGACTTGGATTTTTTAGTTGGGATGTCCTAAAATGATTCTGTTGATGGCTCACTGAGTCTTTGAGGCCACATTTCAAACTGAATTTTGAGTTGGTGACAGGCCTCCTCTTTCCCCTGAAGCTATGTTCAAAGCTGCACCACTGTTCATAGTAACATTTGCCTAATCGTCTGTCTTAAACCTAGAGGCGTGTGTTAATCACAGAGATAGAAAGTAGAATGGTAGTTGCAGGGGCTGGGGGAGGTGGGGAATAGGGGATTGTTTAACGGGTATAGAGTTTCAGTTTTGCCAGATGAAAAGAGTTCTAGAGATGGATGGTGGTGATGGCTGTACAACAATGTGAATGGGCTTAATGCTGCTGAACTGGACACTTAAAAATGGTTAAGATGGTGGATTTTTGTGTGTGTATTTACCACAATTAAAAAAACAAAACAAAACAGAGGCCGGGTGCAGTGGCTCACACCTGTAATCCTAGCTTTCTTGGAGGCTGAGGCCAGCCTGAGCAAGACCCCTGTCTCTTCTAAAAAAATAGAAAAATTAGTTAGGTATGGTGGTAGACACCTGTGGTCCCAGCTACTTGGGGCTGAGGCAGGAGAATCACTTGAGCCCAGGAGTTCGAGCTTGCTATGAGCTATGATGACGCCACTGCAATCTCCCCAGGGCAACAGAGCATGATTCTGTCTCAAAACAAAGAAACAAAAAAGCCAAAAAAATCCCTGCCATACTATTTCTAGAGTGGCTGGACTATTTTTGTTTCCACCAGTGATGTGTATGAGAGTTTCAGCTCTTCCACATTCTCCACAGCACTTAGTGTTGGCATTAAAATTTTTTTCTAACCATTTTAATACATTAGTAGTGGTATCGCCCTGTGATTTTGGTTTGCATTTGGCTAATGATGTTGAACATCTTTTTCATGTGCTTATTTACTGTCCATTTTCTTTGTTTATATGTCTGTTCAAATCTTTTCCCCCCTCTCTTTTTTATTGGGCAATTTTGTTAAGTTTACGAGTTCTTCATATATTTTGGAACAAGTCCTTTATTGTCTATATAATTTGAAAATATTCTAGTCTGTAGCTTGTCTTTTCATGCTCTTAACAATATCCAATTTAACATTTCTGTTATGGATCATGGTTTTGGTATTTATAACTAAGAACTCTGAGTAACCCCAGGTTAGACATGATTTTCTTCTTCTAAATGTTTTGTAGTTTTGTTTTACATTTGCTTGTTATCTGATTTAACATTTCCATAAGGTAAGAGGTGTTGGTTGAAGTTTATCTTGTTGCATATAAATATCCAGTTGGTCCAAAACCATGTGTTGAAAAGACTGGTCTTTCTCCTGAATGGCTTTTGTGCCTTTGTCAAGAATCACTTAACCATGTTTGTGTGTTTATTCCTTGACCTTTTATTCTGTTCTATTGGTCTATGTCTATCTTCCATCGCCCTAATTGCTGTAGCTTTATGGCGAGTTTTAAAATTGGGGTAGTGAGAGTCCTCCAATTTCATCCTCCTTTTTCAAAATGATTTTGGCTATTTTAGTTTCTTTTCCATTCTATGTGAATTTCACAATCAGCTAGTCTGTATCTACAAAAAGTCTTGCTGGGATTTTGGTTGGGCTTGCATTAAATCTGTAGATCAGTTTAGGAATAATTGACATCTTAATTATTTTGAGTCTTCTAAGCCACGAACCTGGTGTCTCCATCTATTTAGTTATTCTTTGACTTCTTTTCTTTTTATTTATTTATTTATTTATTTTTTAATTTTTCATATTTTTATTGATATGTCATAGTTGTATATGCTTTTGGAGTCTTTGACTTCTTTCATCAGTATTTTTGTAGTGCTCAGCATACAGATCTTGGACACATTTTGTTATATTTATAGCTATTTCATCTTTTGGAGGTATTATACATGATTCTTTTTATAATTTTACTTTCTAATTGTCCATTGGTAGTGTATAGAAATATAGTTACTGTTTGTTTTTGACCTTGTATCCTCTGACCTTGAAAAACTCATTCTAGGACCTTTTTTGTAGATTCTTGAAATTTTATATGCAGACATTCATGTCATTTGTGAATAGGGACAGTTTTAGTTCTTCTTTCCAACCTGTATGCTTATTTTTGGCACAGGGGTTGGAGGGGCGTGTGTCACTGGCTGGAGCCTGCTGTGCTGAATGTGAGTGGCAGAGGAAGCCTTCCTTTGCCTTGTTCACAGCTTTGGGGGGAAAACATTATTTCACCATTAAGTGTGATGTAGGATTTTTTGGTATATCTAATCTTATTCTTAATACATTTTTAAAGTATTCTAGTAAAGTATATTGTTGGAAAACTAAAGAATTTTTCTTCTAATTTCATTATCCAGAAGTGAGCACTGTTAACACACAAATATATACCTGCAAATATGCATAAGGGGTTGTAGTAAATATACTTTGCTCTCTGCTGCATTCACTTATCGGTGTATTGTAAATGTTCAGCTATGGTAATAAACATAGCTATCATAACTTTGACAGTTGTATAGTGTCCTGTTACAGGAGGATGTAGTGTCATTTTACTCACTCCTACCATATCAAACATTTAATTTTTAGCCAGTTTTTTCCTGCTATATTCACAACTTCCTCATGTATATGTCTTTAAGACTTCTCCCCTTCCTTTTCTGTATACAGTTTCCTGGAAGTGGAGTTACTGGGTCGGAAGGTATTTAGTTCTTGAGGCTGTTGATTCGTATTACCTGAACCTCACCTGTGACCAACTACTTACAGTTACGAGATGTGTGAGGGGGTTGGTAGCAGAGGCTCCAGCTGTATAACCCTTGGAATGCTCCTTAACCTCTTTTAGCAGAGCCAGCTGATCAGGAGAGTCTTACTCACATTTGCACAAGAGTCTCACCAACCAAGATATTCTGAAGACCTGTGTTGACCAGCCCACATTTTCTGATGGAATCTTTGAAGGCTTTAAGTGTTTAACTTTAACCCGTTTACTTAATTCCCTAAACTTATATGACATAATGTGAGGCTTTGGAGTTAAAGGTATGGGTTTAAATCCCAGGTTTGAATGTGTGTTTGACTCTCTGGGCCTCAACTTTCCCATCTGCAAGATGGGCACAGTACAACTAACCTCATGATGTGTTGTTGATGCTCTAATGAGACCAAGTATGTGACAGAGAGGAGAAAGGACATGGACTTGGAGAGGCTTGAGTGAATCGTACAGCCCACATCAGGGAATCTTTTCCCTCTCGGAGACCTGTTCAGGACTTGTTAGTTGTTTAGTTTGAGATATTTGCTGTTCCTATAACAGATGGGGAGAGTACAGAGCCTATGGAAACGCCTGTGGCTGGCTTTGTCTAGGATTAGGGGATGCTTAACCGGCCCCTTCGTGGTTTACTTTCTCTAAAGCTTCCGAGATGAATGTAGAGTTCTCAGGGGATACCTAAGTAGGTGGTAGTTTCTGCTTTTGACCCCGACGTTCCTTTCTGCCACAGTATAGTGCTGAAAAGCAAAATGTAAAGAAAGTGCTGCCTTCGTGGGCTGAGGTATAGTCAGACACGCTGGAAACAGACGCAGACCCAGTAATGAGCTGTGCCGTGTTCTTTAGCTCAGTAAGTGTGTGGCACGTCCATACCAAGCAGTAGCATCTCCATCCGTAAATAGGCTGAGCTAGAGGCTGACTGCAGTGAATTGTTAAATGGGACAACCCACTTGCAGAAAAATTGATAATAGGATCCTGTTTTATAAAGCAAGCCATGTGAGCGTACTGGGGTGGTAGCGATTATCCAAGCATGGAGGAAGGCATGAATGTACATACCAGGTTTTTACCGTTGGTTACCACAGGGAAGGGATGAGCCGAGCAGTGAACAAGGGAGAGAAGACTTCAAACAAACAAATTAATGGTGCATGGAAGATGTTTTATCCTTGAGAAGTTATATTTAGGGTGTGTGTACATTCCCGGGGGAAGTAGGATAAGATGGATATAAAATGTTAATGGGGTTTATTTCAAGGTGTTGGGGTAGTTTCATCTCACTTTTGCATTCCTTCTTAAATGTGTTCTGATTGTGTATTTTGCAGTGATAATTTTTAATTTTATCATTTTAGAAGCAACCCAGTCTTAAGCTAGGAAAGAAAATTTTTTCTATCATATTTAAAGGCACTCAGGCTCAAGTCCTAGGGGTAGAGAGTAGGGGCACAGGCAGAAAATGTGGAAGAGGCTCTTCTGTCTGACATAGCTGGTGAGAAACCGAGTCTGAATCCTGAAGGAGGTGGAGAAAAGCTCTTGTGGGCATTGGGGCCAGGAAGACCTGGCTTTGGATCTTGGTATTATGTCTCATTGGTGTCCATGTGGTGAGACCTTATCTATCCAACTCCTCTCCTTGAGTCATTGTGCATTTTTCCACTGAATGAAGAATGGATGGATGAATGAGTGCATGCTTGATTCAGTGAGACATATGTAAAGTCTAAATACTCAACAAGGAGCAGTTTCCTCCCCCTGGTCCTCAGGTTCCATGCTCAGCCACTGTATGTAGAGGGTGAATTCAGTAGGTGGGGTCCTGTCGTAGCCCGGGTTCTGTGTTCTGTGGTATATGATCTTACGTGGGGGTGGATGTGGACTTGGTCAACTGCTGCTTTTCTTTATGCCTCACTTTCCTTATCTACTTGGTATGTGCTTCTGTAAATGGAAAGAATATTACAGAGTGTGCCTGACACTGCATTGGGCACCTAACAGATTGATGGATTCAAATGGCCTGAGCATAGCATGTGTCAATATTCTGAATTTTGGGGCACTAGAACCAGTTCATGCTTATCTCCATCATGCAAGAACAGTTCTTGAAGTTACTCTGCAAACGTGTCCTTGGTAACATAGTCTATTCCAGTGATGATCTCTAAAACATGAGAATATACTAATGTTTATAAGATGCAAAGTATGTGCTTTTATTTACACAGATTCCTCCCCACCTTGGGTCTGAATTGCCAATTTTTAAATATATTTTTTAACATTCTTGTACCTGCAGAGAAAACGAGGTGCTCAAAGTCCAGCTGAAGAAATATGTAGGAGCTGTCCAGATGCTGAAAAGAGAAGGTCAAACAGCTGAAGGTGAGGGGGACACTGAGTCCGGGTGGGGAGGGGCTGAGCTTTTTGAGTATCCCTGTGCCTGGTACATATAGACATTCCTCATGTCATGAATACATACACAGATGAATGAGAAAAATGGTGCAGGTCAGGATCCTGGAAAAACAGGAGGAAAATCCTGCCGTGTATTCTTGCTAAATGTGTAACTATTAAAAATATCGTAAGACTCACTTGCGAGACTATCAGCAATAGTCGTATCAGCTTGTGTACTTAAGGACTTTTATGTCCAGAGTCTTGAGACACTTGCAATGCAGAGGACCTTGTGGTGCATTGCTTGTGTGTCAGGCTGGGCGTGCAAGCAGCAGAATGCCAAAATGATGGACAATCAGAGCTCTGGACTTAGGCTGATCAGGTTCCAATCCCCAGCTCTGGTTGAGTTTCTTATCCTCTGTGTGTCTTGGTTTTCCCTTCTGTAAAATGGGATCAGTTGACCTACCTCATGAAGCAATCGATGTAGACATCTTTGCATAATGCCTCCCATAGAGTAGTAAGTACTGGATAAATTTTAGCTATTACTATTGTTGATATCATTTATCAGAAATACACATAAACAGAAAAGTGATCACTTCATGAGGGTCTCATTAAACGAGGTGGTGCCACATGCTTCCTCTCTTGCACTTTAGCTACAGTTTACCTGTCATGAATCTCCTGAAATGTTTCTCAGGTCAGCCTGAAGAAAGGAGGCTTAACTTTTACAGCCCTCAACTGACTGAGTGTAACAAAACTCTGTTAAAGAAAGATGAGCTCTTGGAGTGTGGACATTTTAAGCAAGGTGGACACTCCACTCTCCCAGGCCTTGGCGGTCAGCCAGACTTGCATTTGAATTCAGGCTCGCCCGCCCCAACTCCAAGCACCCTTGGAGTTATTTTGCCACGTGTACAAGGAAGCATCATTCTAATGTCATGAGGTCCTTGTGGGGAATTAACCAAAATAATGAACACAAAGTTTCCAGCATGGCACATGGCTTCTAATAAATGGTTGTTATTTGTCTGGGTGATGGAGACAGGGTTGGAATCTGGATATGGCTGATGTAGCAACATCATGAAGATGTGGATTTTTATGGAAGCTCGTGTGTTTCATTATGGTCTCCATTTGATCAGGATCAGCATGTTGGTGATACTTTTTTTTCCCAATAACATGCCTTGCTTTATTCATATTTGGTCTGTAGCCAGGATCCATCCAGGGGCTGTCAGTGCAGAATTAATCATATCTTCTTCTGTGGGCTCATTGCCCTTTCCATACACATAATGCTATTATGGCCCTGAATTAATTTCATTATGCAGAGTTATGTATATGTTGGTCTTGCGACTTTTCACTTCTCATCTCTGTTTCCCCAGCAACTGGCTTTGGTAGTCACTCATTACATTCATTATGCGTTTTGAATGAATAGTATTTGTCTAGCCCTTTACCCTTTCCATGCAAGTTCAAATGTATTCTGATTGGACTCAGTAGCTCTGTGATGAGTAGGTAGTTTTTTTCTCTACATTAAAAAAATTATTATTGGAGACTTAGAGCTTAAGGGGCTGGTTCATGTATCTAGGGTGGAAATGATCTTGGGCATTTTCTTCCCAATCCCTGGTTCTTTGCATTATAAAATTCTTAAACTTTAGTGTGCAGAGGAATTATCTGGGGAGCCTATTAAGTATGCCTCTTCCCAGGACCCTGTCTCTGGGAGTTGTTGCAGTGGATTTAGGATAAGGCTCTAGATTTGCAGGTCTAGATATGTGACTCGAATGACTATGGACTGTGCTGCCACCTGTTTGAATGCTACACTTTACCTACACAGAACTTTGATTTGATGCAGTAAGAAAATTAAACCTAGGAAAATAAGCACCACTGGACTTGCTTTTGATTCAAAAACCCCAACACTCCAAAATGCATTTCCGACTAGGAGGATTTTTGGAGTGATTCTCCTCAAATGGGCACACACAACCTACAGTGTACAGAATGGTTTCTTATGGCAGCTGAAGTTCTATTTCCCAAGACTCAGCCTGAGTGCTCTGAACCAGAGCTGGGTGTGAGCCTTTCAGGATGCCGTTGTGATAGCTCTTACGTGGATTGGAGTGGAGATGATCAAGCATATTCTTCTCTTCCACGTAGCAGCAGTCCCTTACTCTATTCTCTTACTGTGTGACTTAAGACCATGTCACCTTACTTGTGAATCCTCCTTCAGTGGAAGGAAGATTTTTATGAAAACTGTCAAGTGTGGGCATGTACGGGTGTCCTGTTATTGCCTGTGTAAGTCCTGCAATTCACTCCTTCTCTCACTTCACAAATATTAATCACTACTCACTGTGTGCCAAGGACCCTGAATAGCCTTAATAAAAGACAACTCATTCAGAAATTGTACAATGGCCTCCTTTCAATGGCTTTTATCTAATTTCAAGTGGGTTCATCTGTTACTCAAATAAATTGGGACTCATTCCTCATCTCCCAGCTAGTTGCTGCCTCAGTCTTTGGAAAACCATTGTGTATGTGTTGGCCAGGCTGTGGTGGCTCTGGGTGTCTGGGAGTTGGAAGCACCTGAGACTACGTATGTGCACCACCATGCCTGGCTAATTTTTCAATTTTTTTTTGTAGAGACAGGGTCTTGCTATGTTGTCCAGGCTGGCCTTGAACCCCTGGCCTTCAGCAACCCTCCTGCATTGGTTTCCCAAAGTTCTGGGATTACAGGCGTGAGTGGCCTAAGAACCCTTTCTTGATATCTGATTTCCTCGGCTCCTGGTGTTGGGGGATGGACACAGAGATGTCGTTGTACTTACTAAATTCTAGGTGGGAGCTTAGAATGCATTTCCCACAACTTAAGCTTTTTAGTTTGAGGATATAAAGATTCTTTTTTTTTTTTTTATTTTTTTTATTTAAATCTGTCACCAGGAATATATAAAGATTCTTTACCGAGAAATTACTTATGAAGTCGTGAGCTCATCGATAGGGGAAAGAGTGAAAAAAATAATTTAATCCTCAAATGCCTTCAGGGTTGAATAGATTCCTGAGGGCTAACCTGGGACCCTAACATTTGTTATTACATTCTTGTGGAAAAATGCCTCAAGGATTTAAAAAAACAACTTAAAACAAAGTTTTAGAATAGATTATTGACAACCTTTAATTTTACAGGAATCGAATTTCAGATTCCCACCCTCCTTTTTTTTTATTTTTTTTATTTTTTTTAATTCAAAGGGTGATCTACTCATGCTAAGAAAATCATGACTTAACCAGAAAAATGGGGAGTAGAATTTTGGGTGGCTCCATTATGTCATGGAAAGATTTTTTATTTCTTAATGTGGTTCAGAGGTGAGGTTGGGTTCTTTGACACCAAAGCACTGTTTTTCCATGGTCGGGTCAGATGTGGTGAAAGCCTGCATTTGTGTTTTTGAATCCCTCCTCTTGGAACAAGTTGTCTTTGTGTTCTTCCTCCAGCATCAGAGCTGGGGCATAAGGTCCACCACGTTCATGAGGAACTAGCTTGGCAATCCAACGTCCATTGTAACTCTCATTGGACGTTTGGTCAGTTCTGTTGTTAATGAACTTGGACATCCTCTGTCCTCTCCAGGGAGCCAGTGTAGGGCAGTTTCACTCTGGCGGGGGAGCAGGAGATCACTCCTCAAATTGGTGTTTTCATCTGAGGCTTGTTGCTGAAGTTTGAAACAAGATGGGTGGCATGTTGGCTTCCTGCTTGTAGAGGCCTCCTGGCAGCTTGCTGAGGGGTCTGCAGAGCAGGTGAATCACCTGAGCTGCAGACACCGGATGGGTCATGTTGACAAGACTGGCTCATTCTCTTAGGAGCAGACTCACATTAGCCAAGTACACAGTGATGTACAACAACAGTAGTGACACACAGAGCTGGCGGGTAGACCAGAAGGCCCACGTTTGGTGCTCTGGCCTCTCCTTTGCTGGGCTGACCAACTTGGGAAGCTGGAGTCTCACCTGTTGGCTGCTTGGTGAATCAGAAAAGGAGCTAGCTGGGCGGTTCCTATGTTCAGTGGCATCAGACCTGATAGAAACGTTGTCCGTCCCTTGGAGAGGCAAAGGTCACCAGGCCTGGACAAGCCCTCACTTAAAGAGTCAACTTCTGGCTCTTTATACAGCCCATTTCCTTCTTCTAGCTCATGGTTTATCAGAGGATTCTGGGGAGTGCTCGTTCTGTAGGATCTTATTGATGTTGTGGGGGGCAGCTATTAAATACTACGTGAGATACTTACTTTGTGCTTATCACATAACAAGTGGTCAGCAAATGGCACTTTGTTTCAGTTTATAATTAATCATGGATCTTCTCTTTTTCCGTCTAGTTCTCTATAGGAAATAGTTGCAGGAATCAGACAATTAGTGATCAAAATAACATTTTTATTACCGAGAGTCAGCTGCGCTTGCCCTATATCCAGAGTCACACTTCTGGGTCTGTAGACCCAGGAACCGCCCTTGTGCAGCATTGTTGGGTCTTTGGAATTACTTCTTAGTCTTTGGGGACCCACGGGGAACAGGGTCCATGGGGGCATTTCACGTTTTGATACATCAGCTACACCTAATCAAGAATCTCCCCAGTCGGGTACGAGTTGGGGAGTGAGGCTGGGAGCATTATCATGGGTGCAGTCCCCTCATGAAAACGTTGTTCTGTGTGGAGGTCCTTCACCGAGAGTCACGATGGGTGCAACTGTGTGCTGGCTCCGTTTTCAGCCAGGTGTTCTCCTTGGGCCGGCCAGAGGTCGCCAGCTGTTGTAGGTTTAGTCATCCCAGCAACCCCAGCGGGAGTGAGCGCTTCTCTCCTCTACTGGTTTCCCTCTGAACCATCCTCCACCCCACAGAGCAGTGGCTCTCCACACTGGCTTCTAATCGAGTCACCTGGCAAGTTTTAAAAGCTCCCGCTGCCCATCCCCACCCAGACCCATTACTTCAGCAGTGGGACCCGGGCAGGAGGGTTCCAGCATGCAGTTTGGGGCGCAGTGGTCAGAAGCCCTTGGAGGATGTCA